CTCTCTCTCTCATACACACACACGCAAACACACATGTATATGCATGCATGTGCACACACATGCACAGATTTCACCTGCTAAATGAGAGAGAGAATTCAAGATCCGTTCTGCTCTTCTAACTTGAAACTTTTTATGCATATATGAGTGCTTTTAACTTTCCTTCCTATGCTACACAATGATTCGACTAAGGAACAGAGATGAAAATTTTGAATGTAAAATTTTAAAACTGCATTATGAGTTTTATGAATTTTAACTGTTATGAATTATCTCAACTGCAGATTTAACTATCCCAAATTAACAAAGAGAACCAGCCTCCACTGCAATTATCTGGAATGGGCCCTATCAATTTTTACATAAATATTTTGAGTGAAATTCTTTTTCAGAAATAACGTTTAGCTGAAACAGTTATATGTTACGTGACTACAGCATTTAAAACACTTATAAATGTCATCAAGATTGTAGGTGATACTATTTCCATTTCAGAGGGAAAAAATAGGACAGAATCCAGTAGTGAAAAGTAGTACAGTACACAGGGTTATGTGCACGTGTATTCACATATGCATATAATCACACATCCATCTATATGCATATACCAATCTGTACCTACAAAGTCTAATAAATCAGTCAAGGACACTTAACAATGTCTACATTATCTACACAAGTGATTCAATGCAGTATCACCATATACTACCACACAGTTTCAAAAAGTCAAAGCACTTTTAAGTTTTACACTTACCTGCTTAACATACTCAATTAAGTTTGGGATGCAGTTAATTTCAAATCTAAGGTTTTTCAGAGGTTCAAGCCACTTGCCAAGTTCTTAAAAAGAAAAATAATAATTTATAATATTTAAAAATAGAAGGCTTTATAACAAAGAAAGTAAGTATTTCTTCCAAAGAAAAACATTATTAGGTCCATGTTGATTTCAATCATCTAAATTTCATACAGGGATGGACTTGTACTTAATTCTTTTTCTTTTCTTTCTTTCTTTTTTTTTTTTGAGACAGAGTTTCGCTCTTGTTGCCCAGGCTGGAGTGCAGTGGCGCAATCTGGGCTCACTGCAACCTCTGCCTTCTGGTTGCAAGCAATTTTCCTGCCTCAGCCTCCCGAGTATCTGGGATTACAGGCACCTGCCACCACACCCGGCTAATTTTTGTATTTTTAGCAGAGATGGGGTTTCATTCACCATGTTGGCCAGGCTAGTCTCGAACTTCTGACCTCATGATCCGCCCGCCTTGGCCTCCCAAAGTGCTGGGATTACAACTTGTATCTAATTCTTTAGACAAGTTTTTCATTCTGTTGCCCAGGCTGAAGTGCAGCAGTGTGATCATGGCTCACTGCAGTCTCAGCCTCCTGGACTCAATCAATCCTCCTGCCTTAACCTCCAAAGTAGCTAGGACTACAGGTGTGCATCACCACACCTGGCTAATTTTTGTACTTTTTGTAGAGATGGGGTTTCACCATGTTGCCCAGACTGGTCTCAAACTCCTGGGTTCAAGTGATCCACCTACCTCAGCCTCCCAAACTGTTGGAATTACAAGCATGAGCCACCGCGCCCGGCTTAAACAATTTAGTTTTAAAATGAAAGAAGTGCCTACTCTTAGTTATCTGATTTCTGCAAATTTAGATGTTTAAATGCTTAAATAGTCTATATAATTAAAACTAATTTTTACAATTTACAACATTAAAAAATTACAAAATAGGGTCGGGCATGGTGGCTCACGCCTATAATCCCAGCACTTTGGGAGGCTGAGGCAGGTGGATCACAGGATCAAGAGATTGAGATCATTCTGGCCAGCATGGTGACACCCCATCCCTACTTTAGTCCCTACTAAAAATACAAAAATTAGCTGGGCGTGGCGGCACGCACCTGTGGTCCCAGATACTAGGGACGCTGAGGCAGGAGAATCGCTTGAATCTGGGAGGAGGAAGTTGCAGTGAGCCGAGATCACGCCACTGCACTCCAGCCTGGTGACAGAGCAAGACTCTGTCTCAAAAAAATGTATATATATACAAAATAGACTGCTTATAAATTAATGTAACATAGTGTTTATTCACCTATCTTTGCCACTGCCTCTCACACCCACCCAAAAAAAGTATAAACAAAAGTTATTAATTTCTAAAGGAATCAAACCCAAGGGGAGATATTTTGCTGAGTGCCTTTTCCTCTAACAGGAAGTTTTAATTTTGTCAACTTCCAAATTTGCCGTTATAAAATTACTATCACCCCAAAAGAATGACAGCAAACTTTGTTTATAGAATAAACACAAATAAAATCTACCATTCACTGCAAACAAACTCAAAACTCTCCCAGAAGCTATGGCATAACTCCTATATTCTATCACCAAAAATGTTTCTAGAAAAGCACTCTAATGTAAAAAGTGAAATACCAGTTCCAGATGCCATATAGGAAATAGAAAATAGTAGCCAGGTCTTTCCTTGGTTCTACACTCCTCCACAAAAATTACAGCTGTACACAATTTTCCCCATGCATTTTAAAATTAACTCTTTCTTATATATAGAATATATTGCTCAAAGATATAAGAAATAATAATAAAACAAATACCAGAATACCCAACACCCTGAAAAAGTACTAAAGCACTAATAATACCTTTGAAGACACTGTGTGCCCGTGCCCTCCTTTTATAAATGCATTCTTCAAGGAAAAAAGCTATTCCCAGAATGGGAAGTTGAATTTACTATCCAACTTTTACTGGAGATATCACAAGTAAAATTTAGGATTAAAAAGAAAAGAAGAGGCCACATGCTATTTTAAACCTTTTTTACAGTATTTACTCAATGTTATCAAATTTTCTACTTGATAAGGTCAGAAAATGAGGAACCAAAATAAAATAATTTAAAACTTATAATTAGGTATATTAAACTTTTCAAGGCTGCCCACATAAGGTTTCCCATAAATGTCATTCAATATACATTTATATACTTAAAAAAATAATAGTCATATTTACTATTCTTTACTTCTGAGGATAGCACAAATGTGTTACTCCACAATTAGATTTCTAAGTTGCAGTTTGTGTTTTATGTAGAAATACATACACAGCAAAACACACAGAGGAAAACTATACCCAAAAACTGAACTTGAGTCTTTTTTTTTTTTTTTTTTTTTTTTTGCGATGGAGTCTTGCTCTGTTGCCCAGGCTGGAGTGCAGTGGTGTGATCTC